ATATAGCTGATTTTCCAGAAGAGGAATTGCTCCAACCTTTAAGACAAATTAGACTTAAATTTAATATAAGACCTAGCAAGTAACCATAATTTATCTAGTTCACCACTTCTAGTTTAAAGGAGTTCTGGCTCCAAATTCTGCTCATGAAGATGCTTGTTTTGAGTGCACAGAAACATGTAGAACATGAGACTATTTCAATAATCCCAGGGAGGCTTCAGCAGTTGCATTCTACTGAACAGCAGTATGAACCTACCAGCAGGAATCCAGGGTTTTTTCCTCACTCCTGTTCTCATACCTTCACTCCCAGAACACCTGCTGAATCCTTCTGTTCCCAAAGCCTAGGACTTGTGGCATCTTCCCCTAATAGTGGAATTGTAGAGTGCTCAGGAACTGACCAAACGTTCTGCAGATGAAGACAGGGAAAGGAGCTTTCAGGGTTGTTCTGAGGATGCTCTGGAGGAATAAGGGTATGAGTTAAACAAAGATTTCCACCCTGATGAATTTCCTCCAAAAGGGTTAAAAGTGCTTATTTTATTTGAAGTAAATGCCTACTACCCTCAGGGTAAATGCTCAGGCAAATCTTCAGGCTGTCAGAACACAAAAACCGCTCGCTACTAAAAATAAATCCAAGATTAGCCCACAGCTCGAAGTGACAACTTTTTATTTTAGGCAAAAAAAAATAAATGCCAAAAACATTCCGCTATTGCAGTTTGTAAAATTTTCACTGTTTTCAGTAGAAACAGTTCACAAGTCAGAACGCAATATTCAAATAACATTGTGCAAAATTGTACTGGCATAACTACACATAGCAAAAAGACTAGTGTAAATCAAGAATTCCATTGAAATTAGTTGAGCTGCTCCAGTTTTACAACAGTGTACATCACCTCAGAATAGGCCCTTTTTTGCAGAACATCCCTGGAATTCCTCTTGCTTACAAAAATTGCTTTACATGCAACAAGTAACAACATATGCAAGAACACCTCCACAAGTTATCACAGTGTAACAGAGGAAAACATATCAGCCAATTTCATACAAAGGCAAATCTAATGGCAGTTTTGAACATCCCTTGACTGCTACCCTCAAAAATTGCACATTTCAGTAAATGAAATAATTTAGAATGAAGCCAAGCTATGTTCTTACCTATCAGTACATTGACAATTAGGACGGACCATGTGTTCAGAAGGGGTTTGTTTTCTTTTTTTTTAACTTATTAGATTTTCCAAAGAGATTTGTTTCACAAGAAGTTAACTTGCAGTGTTATCAGGCCAAGTCCTCTTCTGCTATTCAGATAAACCTGTCAACACTACAGAAGTCTCTGTAGTCAAATACAAATCCCAATGAAGAACTATGAAACAAAGACCACACCTTCAGTATTTGGTGATGACATGCAACAAAATAAAGCAAGCAGTAACAGGACTCCATTAACACTCGGAGCATTCAGAAAGAGACTGTTGTGGTTCAGTTGGAGTACAGGACCAGAATTTCACAAAACACTTGTGAACAGTTAACATCCTCTCCCCACTTGACTTGACGCACAAAGTAACAGTTTCAAAACAATGCACCCTAGGTCATTCTTTGTATAAACAAAACTCTAAGAGCAGAACTGAGTTTCAGAGTTCTGAATGCTCACAATGCCACATCAAGAAAATACACAGGTACATCTTGCAATGAGTGGTCATTTTGTTTTCCTGTATACCCATATTTAGAAAAATAATTCCATAAGAACCCTTTGATTACAATAAAACCAGTTGTTCCCCAGTGTTTTTCACCTCCCTAGGTTAGGAAGGACACACCTTCTATTGCCTTTTCTAAGAGCCAATATTTTTGTTTTAATACATACCAAGCTGGTTTGAGTCTAAACCACAATGACATCTTTTAACTATGACATTTTATGAAGGGCATACACTTAAACTATGGAATTATATGAAGAAGCACAGTCCTGATATTCTCAAGTGTTTGGTGCTTTTATGTCTTCTTTGCAGGCTATATTAACCTCACGAGAGCAAGAAATAAAAATGCACAACCTCTGCTTTGGAGATACGTGTAAGGGTGCATCAGTTCTACAAGAGAACAGGTCTGCAAGTCTGTACATAGGAAAAAAATAATAAAAGGTTCTCATAAATACCAGCCCTGCCTCAAACCATACAGACAAAAGCAGCAGACCTATGCAGACTGTATGTGTGCACACAGTGAGTCAAATGGAAATCCAGACACCCCAGAAGCCATCCTGCAGAAATGATCTCTGTAACTGAAAGTTTCTGGTGACTTCCTATGCATCCTCCTTTGCCCCCTCGCTTCATGGAGAAGCTGTCAGGTACTCAGCAAGAAAACATTCAGCAAAGAAATATGGACATCTCTGGCACCCAGTTACTGGGAAGACATTGGGCAGCATTTCAGAGATGGCAGGGAGAGAACAGATAGAACTCCAGCAAGGAATTATTGCTGTAACACTGAATTCTATCAAACTCAATAAGCAACAAGAAGTTAGGCCCGAGGCAGAAGAAAGGTTAATGGATATGACTTTGTTTTCTTCTTCCCAAAAGGCTCAGCTTCAGTGTTTTCCAAAAGTCTCAGACTCTGAATTCCAGGAAATTGTATTTTAGAACAAATCAAAAAATAGCCCTGAGACTAAACACACTTTTAAAGAGCTGCTATTGCTTCATGTAAGTCAAACACAGCAAGCATTTACTTCCACAGTATGCAATATTTAATTTTCACTCCCTTTTTTCCTCACTTGGGATATGTGCCCGAAACCAAGAATTTCTTTCCAAGATGTATGTACTCAAGCATTATCTGTTACTTTTCCAAGAACTTAAATGCTACAGGATTATGGCACCAAGCAAGTAAAGAATAGCTGATGCAGGTCAAACTTCAACAAAGAAGTCCTCTTCCCTCGTGCCTTGAGTTTTTGAAAAAAGGATTCCAATAATCATAGCTGTCACCACGGACTTCATTACAATGAACTCCTTCCTTGTGACTTAAGTAGAATTTATAACTGGAGTATCATCATCTACTATATCTCAAAATCAACTGTCACTCTTACTGAACACTGCTACCAGCCTTTAAGTGTGACTAGAAGTGTAAAATACCAAGAAAACAAGAATATCAAGTGTGTCAAGTTGTGCATAAAAATAGACCTTGACTTTTTCTTAAGCTAAAAACTAGGCAATCAAGGAACTGACTAGGTCTATGCATAGTTAGGATTTTAAGTATGCCAAAAGAATTTAGACTCTTTCAGTAAAACTCTGCTTGAGCAATGCAAGGTCAGCTCCTCCAAAAAATGGATATCCCACTCTATACATAAAAGAATTTTTAAAAAGCTCCATGCGCTCTCAAAGCTATTTGAAATAGATTTAAATACTTTATCTAACAGCTATGCTATGGCACAAGACAGCACATAAAAAGTTTAAGGCTAATTTTTTGTCTGCACACATGTCAAAGATGGTCTCAGAACAAAGCTGTCATATTTTCTTAATTCTGAGTCTTTAGTGTGGATTCATAATAAAGTCCAGCTGCCAAGCAATAGTAGAGTTGTCCCGCATATAAAAAAGACTGAATGTTGTCCTGAATGCAGTTGCTTTTTTGCTTTTTTTGTGTTTTTTTTTCTTTACAAAAAGCAAAAACTTGACACATTTGCATTTGGTTTTTATCAGAGCAGCTCACTAATTTATACAGTACATTGTCCAATAACATACAAGGTAAACTACCAAAGAGATACTTGAAGTACTACAACAACAGGTGCAAAAGGAAGTCCTACGGTACGAAAGCCCACCGCTATTGGGAGAGTCACTCTGTGATGAAAACAAACATCAGAATGCAGTTTTGGTGAAGTCAGTTAAGTGTCAAGGCTGTAATAAAGGCTATTTGTTAACTTTAGCCCTTTGGTTCTTAACCATTCAGTTAAGATCTCCTAATAAAGCACTAGGCAGTTTGGCAATGATGGAAAAGTTCTTTACACGCTACTGTTACAGAAATAGAAAACAGACTCAGAAGCACTTCCTTCACCTGAATATGATCTGAATTCAGTCACATCAGGTTTAAAAAAAACCTACCTAAAGCAGTAAATTTTAGACTTCAAATTGCACTGTAGTGTTTCAGAAGAAACTAATTAATATCCACAAAGCCTAGAAAAGAATTATCAACTGGCAAAATTACATAAATTTGATGCACAAAGCCACTTATTTTAAAACTGTTCCTGAACAACTTCAGTTAACTGACAGTGTCAGTGCAAAGCAGAACTGTTACTTCAAAACAATCCTGTTTTCAAGGGGAAGATAGAAAGTAAGCCAAATTCTGTTTGTTTGCTAATTTAACAGGTGTAATATTTTAATGCTTCCTGGTACATTTTTCATTTACTGTTTTTTTGCATAATGTTGTAAGAATGGGTTCATTATGCTATAAACACAGGACTTTCAGATTCTAGTACGATTTACACTTGCTGAGTAAAGTACACTGCTATAATAGTTACTTACAGAGGATTTAACGTAACAGCAAACGTTCATAGAGACAATGATTATTATCTGCACACATATGCAGGGTTTTTTGCTCCCAAGCAAAGTGTTTGCAAGCAAATTGATCATATTAAGCACTGAACAAAACTGTTATATTTGCAGTATCATCTTTAAATAGTTGCCATTATGAGGAGACCTGAGTATGCAAGGGATTTGTGAAAGGTATGCCTATGGAAGCCAGTGAGAACTGCTCATGTGTAACAGACCAATACTGAGAGAAAGAGACTGCCCAGGATGACGCTTTGAAATTACCAAATTTAACTCTGTAAAAGAGGTGCAAGGTCGACTTTGTAAGTTGATATGACACTGGTATTCAGGTCGTTGCAGGTTTTTGCATATCTGTATTGTATTTACTCAAACCCAAGTAATGAACTCCAGGAACACATGAGGAACCTCATTGAAGTTCCTGAACAGTTTCTGTTTGCAGCTGCCTTTCCCCCCCATTTTCCTCTTTTATTGTAATTTCAAAGGAACTGTTAACTGCTGGACAGACCAAGTATCAAAAAAAACCCCCCTCTGTTTTACATGCCAACCTAAGTTGCTAGTCAAAAAGGGAGAATGTATCTGCTGCTGTAAACTTCTGCATAACAGATATCATGCCTGACAAACCATCACCTTCCACGGACACACTAACACCACTATGACAACAGGGAGGAAACCATGCACAGGTATTTCAGTACTATGTGGCCAGGGTCTATAATACAGTGATGAGTCACGTCAGAGCAAATTTGTACCAAGAGTGATTAATGATTCAGGCTGACTAACTTCGTAAGTAGTCAAGCAAGCCTGTAAGAGCCAAGTATTTTCTGGAAGAAAGAATACCAAGTAAGAGGACAATATCTTTTTTCCCTACCTCTGCACAAAAATTCTATGAACAAATAGAACAATACTGGGGCAAGTGCTTTAAAATGCAATTTTCCAGTCAATAAGCCAACAGTAGTAGGAATTCTGTGAAGGAAGGTGTTTTAAGAATGTGACTTACCAGAAGCACAAATTTTCAATATCAAAAAAATGTACACTATATACTAACACCTTTTTTTTTTGCATACTCTTCTGTTTTAAAAGTTTCAAACGTATTAACTTGTCTCATTTTGTTTAGAGCTGAGGCTGTTCAGCAAGGTCACATAATTTGAGACTGCAGAAGTAATTCAGCAATCCTTTGGTCCCATCAGCTGTAAACCAGCCAAGTATAAAAGAACCTTCCCTACAAAAGAAAAACAAAAAAAGAGGGGGAGGGGATCATCCTCAGGAAACACCATCTGCTACGAACCAGAAAAGGCAAATTTTTGTTACAAAATACACATTTTCATACAAAAGACATCTTGCAAAACCATCTGATTGCCCCTCCCTCTGCAGATTACAATGGTAAATGGGATCAGCTGGTTGGTCTTGGGATTTTTGTTTTAATGAGAAAAAAAGTCAAAGGACACACAGTATCACAACAACTGGTCCTTTGAATGGCAAAGGATTATGAGTGTCTTTGTTTTCACCAGTGTTTAAAAAAGCAGGAGAGAAACAGAACCATAGTCTTTATAAACAGAAAGTGCAACAGCGCATCAGCTGCTGCATCCTCCTGAACTCCTTAATGTGCTACCAAACTGTCAATTATACAAACAGTTTGATTATGGCAGTGCCATAAATTGTTAAAACAATGCAAATAGTGTGATTAGAAAGGTCCAGTCAACTGGTTCCATTTTTTTTTCCCAGTAGTTGCCCAGAAAAGTGTCAAGACAATCTAAACCTATTCTTCAGCTTCCTCAATACATCCGGACGGCTGGAGCAGAGAGGACTGTGGTATTACTGTGCTTGTTCCACGAGAGATCCTGTCTTGATCTGTGTTTGTAGTCAAGGTGGCCATGGAAATGGGCTGTAACAAACCAGGCGTCATGCTGGAGGAGACAGTCAGGCTGTGTGTAGTGCCCTTAAGTGTGAGATCCTGTGTGGGAAGAAGTGGCTTGAGGATGCTGACAAGACAGAAAGCAGAGCCACTTTTCGGAATGAAATTCACTTTGTTCTTGTCAGGGCAATAGAAGGCTGGAATTTCATGCAATGGCTTTGGCCTAGAAATAAAATACACACAATAGTTTTATGAACAATCAAATTCTGCCAGTGGCAGGGATGTATTGCTGAACACATCATCAGAAACAAATTGAGGTTTCAACTTGGAGTATTTCAGCTATTTAATAATGCCTTAATGACACTCACACCACACAGCAAGTGACAAGATAGTTTAAACTGCTTGTTTACATGTACTATGAGGTAAACAGCATGTTCTTAGGGCAGGCTGTCTCCAAACCTAAGGAAGACACCAACTTCATGCTGCAGATCACAAACCCCGTTCATGTATTGGCACATCCAACACATGAGAAAGTATTCTCTATCGCGTTCTCCAGAAACTTTCACAACCCAACCAGTTCTGCCCCCCATACAGACACTGTTTATACAACAAGCCTTGTGAAAGAAAGCTGGCATAGCAATGTTTCTAATATTGCATATCTCAAAGCAGTTCATGACCATAGGGAGATCCCCTTCTCTAGACTTTTGAGTCCTTTGCATGTTCACGTGAGTGTGGCCTGACTCTCTGTAAAAGATAACCCCATCTTACTTAAAAACTCAATGCAGAGAGTAAAATACAGTATTCCCAAAGTGGCATTCATGATCAAGTACCTATAATCTGGGAAGGAAGTGTGGAACAAGCATTTAGATCCTGACTTGCAGTTTTGCCATCTCAGCATAGAACTCAACCAAATCAAAGACATGCTTTATGAAAAACAGAGCTGGAAGGGAAATTGTGGATAGCACAGGAATGCCTACTGTGTTCATTTCTAACCCTGCAATGTAAATCTACCTCGGCTAGCCAAATTCTACTTTAAGATAGAACTACGGGAATCTGCTTTAAAGCCTCTCTTTACTGCTGGAAAATAGTCATCGGAAATTTATACTAATATTTTCTTGTTGCCAGTATTGTCCTTTAGCCTATAACCTACCCCTCCCTTCTACGTGTTTGTAAGACAGCATTATGCACTTCTGTCTTTGTTATACTAGGCCAAACCAACCTCCAGTATGCTCTTGTAAGAGACAATTACATTTCAGAGTAGAGTCTGTTCATGAAATAGGGTACATTTCCATGTTAGCCAATTCTCCCAAGTGTCCAGAAAATTCAACCCCACTCATATTTTTTTCCCAAATGAAAATCCTCTATAGGATTTTCAAGCAGAAATTATGTTAAACAAAGGTTGAGCTTTAAATAGTTACACTCACGTATTCCAGGTACACATGGAATACAATAACAGCTGTGAAAAGATTTTTTCATCAGACTGCAGTGTCTAAGAACTGCGACAGCCAGGTAAAAGCTGCTGTAGAAGCTGTATAAACCCGTTTCCCTCTACAGCAGAACAGTCCTACAGCTACACAGCAAGGACTTTTGGAAAGAAATGCTAATGCAAGTTAAACCACAATAGATTATGTTCCTGAAACAAGTGAATGCTATCTAATCTGTTGGCAACAAAGCTCACACACTCTAAAATAAAGACAGGTGACTTAAGTTACCGTAACCCTTCCCACGTTGCTATGGGAGAGGCCGTAGAAACCTCTCAAAATCATTTGCAGAGATCAGGCAAGTTCAAGGGTTTTTTTACATTAACACATATTAGATGGCATTCTTGAGATAACATAGGCATAAGAGAATTATAGAGAATCTATACGTGTGTGACAAAATGAAATTTTTAACTATAGCTTAAGATTCTCGCATGCAAGTGACATGAGAGTACAAAAACTCCTCTGAAAATAATAAAACATAACTCCCAGAATACTCCCAAATGATAAAAGTTGGCTTTTTTCAGAATAACCTAAGTATTAAATATTCAAGGTAAAATTCACTCCTGTTACCAAAACTTTCACAACTACACTGATTTAGATGAAAAGAATATGGTCTTCAGAGTCTAGATTACTGGATGTGCCTGTCAAGCTGTGACATATATTAGCTGATGCACCTGCATTACAGCTTATTAGTACATTTCTCTCTAGCTGACTATTGGAGTTCCTCTCCTCCTATCTGCCAGGTAAGAGACAGTCCTCTCGAGTTATGGTTTTTAAAAAGAGTTTCTCAAGATTTTAACACAAAAAATACATACCTATATATGCCAGTATATAGTCACACAGAACAGAGATCAGGCTGTTATCGTGGTTTTAGCAACTGGATTAATAACTTTGATCTGACACAAAATCAATAAAGCAATAATTAACTCTGATTATTAGATGTTATTTCTCATGTAGCAAAGATCAACTTACAAGTTTTCCTCAAAGACTTTCACCTTTTCACAGCCCTCGGGAGGTTCACGCTTGAACATGTAGCTGTTGTTGGGTTTTGGTGAGGTAGCGTATTTTGGCAAAGGAGAATTATTCCCATTCTCTGCAGGAACAGAGTTTCTAATTACTTAAATGTGTCACACTATAAAAAACCCACAAGAGTTGTCTTTAAATGCTCCCCAAATTTAAAGCCACTTCATTACCAATGTTACAAAACTAAGAAACATTTTCATTTGCCTTCAAGTCTTCATTTGAAAATAAGATTTCTTATCTCAATCCCTTTCCTCCTTTCTATTTCTCCATATAACATTTTCAGGCTCCTCTGCAATCTCTGATCATTCCTGGATATTTTCAATTTGTAACTGCAAACCCGAATCTATGGTTCTGTGCCATTACCATCTACCCCAAGAGAAATGGGCAAAAGTCATATTCCTTTGAAAAACAGAAGAGGTTTATGTTGAATTATAAAATTTTCCTACAATATCTCAGAAGATATAAAGAATAATTTACAAAGTCTAAACAGTTAAACTGTTATACGTGCATGTATGAAATGCTGGAAGATTGCCCACTTTGTCTAAGATCATAAAAAGAAATACCTGACAAGCAAATACCTGACAGGTGCTGTTCCACCTGTTACTGTACACTCTTGCTTCTTTAACTTGCTTAAAATACTTGAAGAACCTATTATTTAAAAAACAAAAACTTGTTTGGGAAGCACATTCCCCAGTCACATCTATGCAGCTCCAATTAATATGTGTGCACACAGTATTTGGAGCAATTTGGAAAAAATACATCACTTACAAAGAAAAACACATTCTATCATTTCTCTCCACGGACATAGGGAACAAATCCCCTCTTTTACAGTTTAACAAACTGCAGTTCAGCATTGTTGAACTTTTAAAGTTACACAGTACCTTTATCTCTGGAGTCACCAAGAAGATCATCTGTAGAACAGGGACTTTCTTCACTGCTTTCATTACAGATGGTAAGGAAGGAGGTTGGAGACACTGACTGGGAGCGGCTGCTGTTGTTACTGCCCTTGTCTGCTCCCCCGGGCGTTTGGGTATCGATGCTCCGAGTGCTGCTGCTGCGCTGAACCACCGGGGGTGGTGCACGGTGCCCATCTGGGATATCTTGAGGCTGTTAAAAGTGAAAGGTATCAGATGGATGCTCTTATCTGGTTAGCAATTCTTTAAATTCAGCAACAGTGAGGGGTTTTTTTCTGGTTTCGTAAAACCATTTGTGGAAAAAAAAAATTCATTACACACAACTCCAACAGAAAATAAACTGCTGTCCTTAGTCTCTGAACCTGACTTAACATTTCACATCATCACAGAACTGCTGAGGCTGGAAGGGACCTCTTGAGATTATCTAGTTCAACATCTCTGCTCAAGCAGAGTTAGCCAGAACAGTTTGTCCAGGACTCTGTCCTGTCAAGTTTTGAGTATCTCCACAGACAGCAATTCCACAAGTTCTCTGGGCAACCTACTCCAGTTTCGCACACCCACACACATTAAAAAAAAGAAAATCAAAAATCTAATGTTTTTTAATTTATGCCCACTGCTCCTTGCCCTGTCACTGGGCTCTACTGAGAAGAGACCAGCTCCCTCTCTTCATTCCTGCACATCAGATATTTATACATGTTGATAAGATCCCCCTGAGCTTTCCCATTTCAAGGCTGAACTTCCAGCTCTCTCAGCCTCTCCTCATACGAAAAATGTTTCAGTCCCTTCATCGTCTTCATGGTCTGTATTTCTGATACTTTATTACTAAATTTACCTCTAAAAATCATTAAAATAAAATTAACATTAAAAATGGGCAAGTTATGCTTCAACTGAGATGGGAACAGTTCAGCATGGGCAAAAAAGAGTTACTACAAAAACTCTTAAAACAGACTTTTTGTCTTTCCCCCTGTTTTACTGAGATCACTTATTAGGAGGAAAAGGTTCAGAATTCAAGCTTTAACACTTTGCTTCCTTTTGCTTACCAAGAGACTTTTCAACTAACCTTATTTAAAAAAGAATATATATAAATGAAATTAATTCCAGACAAATTTAATTTGAGAACTGTGCAAAATAAAGCTTATGACTTATAAACCTCAAAGCAAAACCAAAATAATTATACAGAGTAATGGTGGTGGCAGATACATACAACGAGTTGTTCCTCCTTGTCTCCCGTCTCCTTAATTATTATCTCAATCTCCTGATTCAGTCCTTCTACACTGTTTCGGAATCGTGATCCTGTTGATTTGGTAATAGGTATCACAGGAACGAGAGCACTCTTTGGAATGGGAGCCTGAAGAACCAGAGACAATGAGAATGTTTTGCAAATAAATCTACATTTATTTCTACTCAAAAGTGACCCTTGGAACAGAACACATCTACACCTTGGTATCAGATGTACTCGAAACTATAGCGACTGTGTTAAAATGGATGCCTTAAATGAAGACAGACATCCTGAATTTTGTTTAAAATCTGATTTATAGCAGGAAAAGCTATATAACCTAGTCTCAAAATTCCCCTCAGTATGGTCTGTCTCCAGCCTGACATTACTGTTAAATTTTCACTTGTAAAGCAAACATTTAAATGTAAGTAATTTTGAAGTCTTTACAATACTTTTACATTTCTCCTGAAGTGAGCTATACCATGAAGTCACATCGTTCACTATTAGATTTACCATTTGTACCTTCATTGAAATTATATTTTAATGGAAGTCTGTGGCCACACACACTGATAGGACACATGAAAATTATTGCACAAATGCAAGATGCCACTATGCTAGAAATTAAGTCTAACATATTAACTATATTAAGCCAGAATAAAGGTTGACAAAACAACTTCAGAAGACTTCCACAGAGAGAATAAAATCCCAAACCCAAGTGTTGATACATAGTTGCTTCAGAATGAAGATCATCACTTTAAAAATCCAGTGTTTCAAAGCATGCATGAAAACTCCATTCTCAGCAAACATGATACTGAAGTTTCCCAAAACCCCCTTTAGTACACTACAACCTCTCAATATTTTCCAGTCTCTCCATTAGCATCCTCCCTCCTGTTAAAAAAATCACGCTACCTGAATATGAGAATATTCTGCCCTCCTTAAGCAGGGCTGTACTACAGATAATGGAATGCTTCCTGCAAACATTTAGTTCAACTCAAAAGACTTGCACAAGCAAGCACAAAAGTTTCTATTCAGGAAATGCTTGTCACTCTGTTTGTCAACAAAAACTGACATAATAGCTGAACTTGTAAAGACTTCCAAAAGTCTTGCCTGAAGAAGAAACAGAGAAAACCAAAACCACAGGAAAAGAGCACAAAAAAGTCTGAGAAAACAACCCTGCTAATTCCAAACAAGGCCTAGGATCAACAATCCAGTAAACACAGGTCAATATACAGTTATAATACAGGTATTTCAGCATAAGCTTAGGCACTAAAAACTGTTTATGCACCCAGTTATTCAATATACACATTCTTAAGACAAACTGAATTGTGAAAAAGTAGAAGGCAAGTACGCTTTAAGATTTCAACCACCATTAGCAAAACGTGCGAGTTCTCCATCTTTTAAATATGATTGCCCACCACAAAAATTCTTTGAGCTCTTCAAATAGTAGCATGATTCTAAGTAGAAAAGTATAAGTTCCTCCATTAGAGTTCAATAAAGTTCAATACAGCACGTTTCACTTCCAAGAAAAATAATACTCTGTACACGAGCAAGGATGATTTGTTAGCCCAGCGTGCCAGAGGGTGGGAAGGGAAGGAGGTGTTGTGACATGGGTGGAACAATCAGCCTCAAAACAAGAAACTTATTATTAGAAATACTGCCCTCACAGAGGACTGCATGGAGCTGGGCCCTGACATGCAGGAATTGACTACCAACTTTGGGCTACTCACCTGCACATTTGTGAACGCACACAATGAGGCAAGGTGCAAACACAGGGTAATAATTACAGCATTCACATAATAACATACTGTCAGGGAGTTTTGCTGCAGGACAGTTAAGAGTCCTTACAGGTATGGCATAAACTCATGAGATATGAAATAGGGGTGATGACCAATCTAAATTGTTCACAGGCATTTCAGGAAAAATGCTCCAAGATCTTCCAGTTTTTCAACAAGCAACAAAACTTGAAACAGAATGCAAAGATGCCTTTAGGTGTTAACATCAAACCTTCTCAAGGCTGAATGGATCATGGTAATTCCACTCTAAAAAAGAAATGCTCTACCTCTGTAAGGTGACACCAAAAAAAAGCAAACCCCAAACACTGCAAACTGCATGCAGTTGGTCTTGATGTTAGTGGTTGCTTAGGGTCAATCAATTGGTAAGACATTAAGGACACATGCTTCTCAGCAAACTGAAAGGAAGAGGGGGCTTGATGGTTCATAGTGTCAAGTAGCAATGTAACATCAGTCAAGTGCACTGAGGAAAAAAAGATTATTTTGGAAAAACTAACCCATTTATTCTTTCATCTAGCTTCAGCTCTGGCCTCAATTCTACTTTCTCCACTACACCAACATTGAGAATAAAGAAAAATCATGGTGGTTTGACTCCTGTTTACAGATTTAGTACCACACAATTAATTCTAAGCGTTCTCAGAAGCAACTTGAGATCACCTGAGGAGGCTATGACCTTTCTGCAAGCCCCTCTTCCTGCTAAGAGAGGCAGAATGGAACATTTCAGGCATAATGTAAAAACCACACAAAAAAACCCCCATTCAATTGCTCTACAAATAAATGTAGTCAGCAGATCAGACTTGATCAAGGTCCTCACCAACTATTTCCTGATTCTGAGTAGATGGACAGGAACAGCTAACTAGCTTATTCTATAGGGATTGTGTGGATTTTTTTCTCACACAAAAATCGTATTAGAAAGAAGCACAACTAAACAGAGGCTTAGTTGGCAAGACCCAGTAAAAATTTTTGTTAAATTCAAGAATTCTGACCAAGTTTAAGTAGGGAAGTAGGGAAGAAAAGAGGATATAAATTCACTAAAATTTCTTATTTTAATTTTAATAGAAGAGTACACCGTTTTCCAAATGTTAAACAGTGTTTACTTAGTCTCTGTGAAGGAACTACTGAGGCAATTTCCTAACACTTTTTTTCACCTTGTCAGGAATCCAACTCTTTGAGTTCAAAAATCTTTGTATGACTCTTTAGAGTCAACAAACACAAGTTTCCTTCAAGCTAGGAATGTAAAAAAAAAATAAATTCTAAGTATTCTCATCACTAAATGCTAGTTTCCACATAGTCCTTCCCACAAATCCTGAAGGAACTGAGCTGCTGCCAGAAATTCTAGTTTAGTGGTTCCCAAAAGAGGAATGAGAAAATCTGAGAACTTTGCCCTTGATGCCTACAGTTACAGATTCTCACTCTGACTTAGAAAACAGCCATTGAATGCCATTAATCTAAACCCTTCACTTACTCTTTTTGAGTCCTTCTGTAACTTGCCCCCCTTGCAAGTAGCTCAACACAGCAGGCACGAAATTTACCAAGAAAAACAACGTTTTGTTTTCTATCACAATCCTGGAAAAGCTGCTTTGCCTCAGTTTATATTTTATAGTTTGTTTCACAAGACCAAAAACTAATTATCCATTGTGCAATATTTTTTTCACATACTCTAAAATTTGGCAGAATGCAAATGCATCCACACAAGAAGCAAAATAATAAAATAATTATGACCAAAAAAATGTTAGGTACATAATTTGCACGTAGGTTATTTTTCAGAGTAACAGCATCACTGTTCATTTTGAAAATTAAAACCCACTAAGATTATCAATGCTAAAGTGACAATAGCTTAGCATTCAGAAACCCACAGGTTTGCAGAATGCCAAGAAAACCTGACAGACTGCATGAGATTCTCCAGGTACTAAAGAACCTATACCAAAATTTCCACAGGGTACCTTTTGGTTAAAATGCCTCAAATGTCCTCAAGTTCTACAAATTTGGATAAAACACCTGCATCAAGTATGTTGATCTGACTTTTTTTTTTCTTTTTTGAACCAACAGTTTGAGACACGTTTTGTGTGTTGATTTTCATAAACTTTTTCAAAAACCCCTAGAAAGGGATTGGGTCATTTATTTGTCTTCCTTTATTCATCATTTCAGACTGTTCTGACTTTAGCTACAGCAGTCACCATGATCAGCAGCACACTACACTGCACCCACACTGCAGTAAAGCAGACCAAGATGTAGGGATCTGTACAACACAGCCTGTTTCAAATCCAATCTGTTCTTCTACTACACAAAAGAGGAGGAAATAGTTTCTGTCTCAAGATTTAAGGAGTTTGAAGAAGTAATTCGTAAATTGTTATGTCAAAAAACGTAATTCTAAAAAAATCCTAAATACTTCTAATAGGACAGAATTCAAACTGATTTCAAAAGGCACTTAAATCCTGAAAATTTGTGACTCCTAATTAAGTGACCTACAGCAGGGCTAAGAAGTTAGGGTCTGAGACAAAAGATGCTAATGATTTTTTATACAAAGTAGGAGTTAAGAAGAACAGAGCAGAAGAAATTAAAAAAGCTGTTCCATTTTATTTCCAGTCTTGAAAGACAAATAGATTCACTCAGACACCTGACTTTTATCTGGGAAAGAACTTGGCTGCTTAGGACTGAATGCATGGTTCTCCCTTCTATTTCTTATTTCATCCTTTATCAGAGTGGATAAGTATCTGGACACATGCTGATGCCACAACTTCCCTCTGTGGCCTAAATTAATTCCAGAAGGATGGAACGACAGAGACAACACAGTTTTTATTAACTGGTGTCAAATTACGATATTTATTAGAACAATGCTAACAGCATATCAGGAGCAATTGGGAATATGATTAGATTTTCAGAGAAGCTTCAGAGATGAAGTACTTTCTCAATTCACAACACTGACAGTTTCATAGTTTCTTTCAACTACATTGCCTTGCAAGGCTATTGTTCTTTTCATAACTGTTAAAAAATTGTGTGTATCAAATATACATTCACAAGATCAGTAGGGAGAGGAAAAAAGTTTTCTTCTGAAAAAATGTCCAAACTTTCCTATTGGTTTTCTTAAAGTTACTCAAGCAAAACACACTTGAAAAAGGATCTGTGTGTCTAAAAGTCTGTATTTAAAAGCCTGTTATCAATTGAGCTAAAAATATTACATCTCTGTCAACCTGACCTTATTAAAAGTCTTGAGATAAAACTGAAACTGCACACAGAACATGTGCTGGCCTAACCACTGCAATTTTTGAAGTGATTACTATTTCCAAGTCTCAAGGCACAATAAATGACAGGAAAAAGAAATAAAATCTTACAAAGCCTGAATGAAACCATGAAGTGTATAAACAAATAAATAATCCCATTGAATAGCCTTTTGTCAGGTAAGCTCTCTAAATATCTCAGTATTAGACAAGTGTTTGTCAAGACACAAAATGTGCTCAAAAAAGCCACATTTTATTTGAGTATACAGTTTTACCAGCAGTTTGCTCCATGCCATATTCTACATGCAAAGCTGTAATTGTTACAGCAATGCGTAATGAAAAAGATGATCTGTGGTTTTTGCTTAAACTTATCTGTCATCCTTTGTGGAGCCTGCAGAATGCATTTTAAAAATCTTGCTTTAAGGAAGGATTTAACTACCTGAAATTATTTGAAAGTGCGAGTTCAAAGCCAGTTCATCCAAGTAACAAAAAATCTGCAACTCCATTCACTCAAGGAAGTCAAAAGAAAGAGACCCATTTCATAGAATTCACCTATAGCTACAACACATTTAGCAGTCCATGGTATTTCTAAGTTCCCTTAGAGGCAAATCACAACCTTGAAAGGAGTTAAAATTAGTATTAGCTACCCAATATGGCCAAAAAGCACCCAGCCTTACCTGACTGTGGTTAATGGCAGCATGGTTGCCATGAAATGGAGACTGTCTCTCCTTATCACGGTGGTGCCGACTGCTGTGTTTGCTCCTCTGCAGTTGTTGACGCAATTTTGCAATCTAACGAAGGAAAAATTAGATTTCAACGAGTGTATTGTATAGTGTCATGAATCTGTTCCATCACTGACTTAAAATTCTTTACTACCACAATATTCCTAATTACTGCCAGCACTAAATCAGAGTAAAGATCTTGCACACCTAATATGTTAGTAACCAACACAACTGAAGCCCAGAAGGCACCTCTGGAGATTTAATGAAAGAACTTGAAATACATGAAGTTTGAAAGTCGTTTGGTCACTGCCATATTTTCTCCTTTGATGAAGAATGTCACCTGCATTGAACACTTTCTTTCCCAACTTCAGATTAAAATTTTTAATAGACCTGCATTACTGTATTAAATACTGCCTTCCTGAAAAATCACAGTATCAGTGCATACCACTAAAAAATTTAATCCAAAGGTATCTCAAGTAATGGCATTTCTGACCTCCTTGAGCTGTTCATTGCTGCCCCATGATGATGAACGTTTGTGTGAGCTTCTCTTCTTTTCTAAATATTCTTCAGCCCAGGCACTTTCTGTCTGTAGCAAGAAGATTACAGGATTAATTAAAAAAGAAAATTGCTGCTTTCTGTCAGAATATTTTGAGACAAATTAGAAAAGAGAACATTTAGGATTTGCTAGATTCAGAACTGAAAGTGAACAGCAGTCACCAACTAGAAACTTTTCTCACAGGTGAATTATGAAAAAGTAGAGTGAAACTATAGAAATAAAGACCCCAACAACTTTCAGACTTATTCTAATACAGGAATGTGCTAGTTTTCCTTCCAAATTATTGAGCATAAGGCAGTATTCACAGCCAGATGTACCACAAGCTGCTATTCAGTTCTGAAGAACCCGTATGACAGTTCTGAACTGGGGAAGAGATGGTATATTTTATTTTTGACACACTAGCAAGGGTAGCTTGGTGTAAATGTTGTGAAAGCCTGCACCAGCACAGCTTCAAAATCATGTTCTTGCTCACAAGAATGAGAAAAAGGAAGACAAGGCATATGAGCACCACTAGGACTTCTGCAAAGCAGGAAATCAGTTTATTAATGTCTCAAAGGGTTCCAGGTTCATAGTTGTCTCAGGCCATGCAGAAAGCAACACAGATAATACTAAACTGGTATAGCTATCAGTGTTTAATAAAAAGACTTGCAAACATACTGTGGTGAAAGACTTCTAAGAAATTCAAAGTATCATTAAGACAAACTGCATTTAAGGTAAGAAATGCACAGGCATAATATGTGATAATACTGCATGCTTTATGGACAGTTTGTATTTCCACCTAACCACACCCAGAAATGTCTTCAAAAGCAGTGAACTGTGAAGGTTCTAAGAAGATGGATAGTAAAATCTCTCAGGAACCTCTGTGCAGTCACAAGAAATATACCTAATGAAGCAAGGGGAAGGATATCTGGAAGAAGCTTACACACTCAAAGAGACAGCAAATTCCTTGAAATGCATTGTTGCCACAACTGTTGCAGTTCTTAGCATACAGTGGTGATCTAGCTAACCTCATTTTTAGGAGTCACTGATATCTCACTTTCTCATATGGAGAGGAACTTTGATTGCCTTAAAGTCTTCACAGTGTGCAGTAGTTGTTCTTACATGTGAGACTAACAGCCTGCAGAAGCCACAAGTTGACCTTACTTACCCCATCTGCACTCAGATCACAGAAACTCACAAGTCCTCTATGGTATCAATCCCAATTTTGCAGGGGATATGGAGCTGTAACTCCAAATACATAGGTTGCAATCCCACCAGCTTCAGTTACAGATATAAGTTTCATATAAATGAAACCTCCACTATCAGTAGTTTTTAATCTTCATCATTCCAAATCAAAAACTAACTAGGACAAATCTGAATAATAAAGTTAGTAGGGTTGCTTTGAAATTCCTATTTCATAGCAAAATCAGAATCCATTACAACCTGTTTTTCCAGAAAAGCCCTCACTGATCTTCATCATAAAATAGAATAATTGATAACCCCCATTCCCAACCAAAGTACCAACCTTTGTCTAGTCAATTCTCAAATCAATCAGGAGTCTCACCCTATCCTCTAGCTCCTGGAACGGTAAGCTTTAGCCACTAATTCTAGCTTTCCAACTTAGCACAACCATTACACTTTCCTATGGGAGTCTAATTAACACTCTAATCAGTCTTTGCCTTTAATTTATATTCCAGACTTTGACTCAAGATTCAAGACTTATTTAATAAATTAATATCTGATTCATTTTACAGCATTAGAAGTTGCTTTGATGCTCATCCTCAAAACAAATAGTTGGAAATCTTTTCAGAGTGGGTGTAGGTATAAGACACTAAATTACAGGAAACCTGTACATCAAGACAGAAATGTGGTACTATTTTAGCAAGTCTCCTCCTACTTATTCTCCATATTTTGTTTATAATACTATTATCAAGAAACACAGATGAGATGACCAGTAGGCAAAGTGGGATTTATATTTCTCTAGGTTCTTAATGTACCACTACTTGTTTATTAGTTGGTACCATTCACAACATCCTTCCCCCATTCTAGAATTACAAAGAGAAATTAGTTTAAGGCTCAATTTATTACAGATAGTAGAACACTTAAGAAAAAAAGTCTTAAGAGGCAAAAACTTTGCAAAGTGAATTATTTTTTAATAATTTAAAAAAAAACACTAAGTAACTGTCTCCTTTTAACTTGTAAGCCAAACAGGTTTAATTCAAATGAAAAAAGACACAGGATTACCAACATCTGTTTTAGGAGCACTTAAAAGAATATGGACCGGTACAAATTCTAGCCATGTGTCATCCAACAAACATTCTTCATGTACATAATTCAGTCTAGTTTTATAGACAGATTTCATAAAATGAAGGAGGAGTCTGATACCCAGTCTCTGCGTGACCTGGGATCTCTTACACAGTTCTCAGCCATGACCTAAGGGCATCTCCAGAAAGGCCTACAAGCTGAAGTGTGCCACTAATTGCCATCTCTTCCCACTCTGCTTCCTGAATGACTCCACTCCCTATGCCATAACTCCACAGGATCAAGATGCCCTATTTACTCGACTTGAAAATCTTTTGTATCTTCATAGATCCAATTCATGTTCTCTAAACTCTTGAAATCCGAACACAAGCATTTCATGTCAGATTTTGTGAAACCTGAAATTACACACTGGAACCAGAAGATCTTACATGACATCTTCAGAAAAGATGAACAGTATAAATGGAGAGCCTATATTATCTCCAGAAACTATTGTTAATCACATTTTAAACTTGTCCTTAGCTCGAGTGGTTGCTCTCAGGCAAGAAGATTAAAAGCAATAGCATCTCATCACTGTCATATCAACAAAAGCTTTGGGCTTACAGATATATGTCTAATTTTCTACTGGTTTGAGAAATTTTAAATTAGTAAGTACAAACAGATCATTCTACTTGTCTCAGAAATACACTACCATAAATCACCACTAAATGCACTCATTCTGCAGAAACACCTAGTGCCCTTTTAGTCATCCCATTAACCTTTTCAAATATATTTCCCCTTATATATCAAAGTCCCACTGCACAGCAGTTAGATGGGTCAAAATGGGAAGGAAATGACAAAAGAAAAATGCAAACCAAAAATGACGATATATGGTAAATACAGAGATTATAAAAGCCCAGCCATGACACAGATTATATTGAAACTAAGATGAAGGAGATCTCTTGAACACAGCAAACACTTTGGCAGCAGTATAGAAATATAATTATTTTAAAAAAAGTATTATCCTAAGAAATCAAATATGAAAATATATTTCTAAGACACCCACACAGGTTTAGTTCTGCCCTTTAATGATGCCTTTTAATAGCTAAGCATGAACAGCCATTCCCTGTATATCACACACCTTCCTTCATCCTCCTCCTCTTACTTCAGTTTGCTTACCTCTTTCACCCCATCTTCTAACCATTTTTCCAATTCATTTTCCTGCACAGAAAACTTGTTCCTAGGCTGTCCTTTCTTCATCAGTTCCTATGTCCACCTTATCCACACAGGCATATTCCCCTACAAAGCACTTTTGTTCTCCACCAGGCTGCTCTTTGAAAGGTGGTCCTTTTCACAAAAGGCTCTGGACCTGGAGAAGGCCACACAGTAACACCACAGACTTCCTCTGCTCTACACCCTACATGTGTTGTTACACAGAACACCGAAACCTATGAGGCCACATTTTTGTTACTGTTACCAGAACTAGCAGGGCTTCAAACACAAGGATGTCCCACATGCTGTCAGGTCCTCTTCCAACTGCATTTTGCTTATGTTCTTTGGAATTAGTGGAGACCTGTTGTTGAAACCACATTCTAGCAACAGGGATTTAGAATCTGATATGTTTGCCTCTTTCTTTCACTCTAAAAGTTAGAGAAACCTACAGCCAGACTGCATCCACAGAAGGAGAAGTTAAATAAGTCACATACACAGTAGCAAAGGATTCCTGCAATTTGAAAGCGAATAAGAACTTGTGAGCAAGAAAAGTAAAGTGAATGTTTTCAAGGGAAAACATTTTTCTTACATTTAAATCCCATCTTCACATTTAAATTCTCCAAAGACAAAAATCTGTCCTACCTGTGTGGCTTTGTCTCTCATACATGGAGCAGCTTGTCCATGATTATCACGAGGCCACTGTCCAGCAAGGTATGGAGCAGCCAGTGTGTCCAGTGAGGAAGTCCGGCGAACAATACTGGAAGGGCTTGATGAAGGTGGTCTTGATTTGTCTGCTAGAACAAGGACACTTGATTACAAAGAAAGCAAGACAGAGCTTACTCATTTTAATAGTCTACAAGAAATCACATCAAATTGGAACCAGGATGTTATTAAGTATACAATAAGATACTTTTAATATGGAAATATAGTTTGCTTTGCCAGGCTCTATTCAGTTTAAAAAGGCTATGAAATCTGTTTGTACAGTTTCCTTAAAAACATCCTAATGCCACAAATGTTGCCTTAGTACTCACACACAACCATTCACTCCCCTAAAGGTAAAACTGTCATTGGATTCTTAAATAATGAAGGCCTAGAAGAAATAAAAATACCTAAGTTTCCTCATACATAAAGGTTAATGAAAAAAACTGTCGAACATTCTCAATTTAATGTCGAGGTTAGAATTCATCCCACTAGCCCTTTACCCTTTGCCTACTTTACTTCAAGGAACACTGTAAACTGGCATGTTTTATTAATCACTCAGTACATGATATATGGCATATGATACATGGTTCAACCCTTAGATCCAGAAGTCAACTTCGATAAGGTAATGATTTACTTTTTACAAGCTAATCGAGTCATCTTCTCCCTTTACATGCTATTTGGTAACTACATTCAGATTTGCCTGATGCTATATCTTCAGCAACACCTCATTCTTAGTGTTTACATTGGTATCCCTTTTCAGAACAAATTAGATGCTAATAAGAATCCTTACTAAAAAAGGTTAAATATAACAAACACAGAAATTAGCATGAGAAGGAAGAATACAAATAAAAATTTGTATCTATCCCATCTGTCAGTGATATCTTAAGTAAAGTGGTAGTAAAAGACTACACTGCAAGCTATTAAGAATAAAGACTGAAGAAAGGTTCCTCAAAACAGTAATTGAGGTTGTTAAATTTAAGAGACTGAGCAGCGGGAAAGACCCAGGGTTTAGAGATACATAAATGCTCTCATATTTGGAAATGTAAAATGCAAATAATGAGATCACAATGATCTAAGCTTACTATCAACTCATCTGCTCCCCACAGAATTATACTTGAAAGAACTGTGCATTAATCTTACCTATAATGAATACAGAGGCCTAAAATACATGGTTAGAACACAGCAAGCATGATTCAGAGACCAGATGGAAGCTTTAAAAGGGCACTGGAAAAACTCAGTCATATGTCCTCCCTGACTGTGCCTTAGGATGAATTCTGCACTAAAAGTATCAATAACATAGCAATTTATATCATGCAGAAACTCATTTATGGGTAAAAGGAATTGTTCCTGATTAGTGTCTGACTGCTAGTCAGAAAATAAAATCACTGACATCAGAAGTCCAGAATTCAAATTATAAACTGTTGCAAACTACTAAAAATACATATGATAAATATTATTAAAACCTGGTAGGTATAGATTCTGGTGCTGTGGACAGCATCTATGTCTAGTGACATTCTACAATAAATATCTTCATGCAAATTTCACATTAGAAATGCACACATTAAAAATGTGGGAAATATGTCAATTCAACTACAAGGAAAAAATTATTAGCACTATAATCAGCCACATTCACACAAATGAGTCAGGAAACCTCATCTGGTTTATTATTTCTACTAGTACCAACAATGATAAAACCTTACTACTGAGCTCACAGCAGATTTGCTCTCAGGGTACAGCAGCAAATCTGCTTTGGAGTTTGCACTTAAGACCCCTGTATCAAAGAATTTCCCTGACTACCACTACCACCACACTCACACTGAAGGGTCTGTTTGTAGCAGAAGATTTCAAACTAATTCCTTTTGTCTGTACTATGGGACAGTGTGGCATGCTAATGCAACGTGTCATTCCTTAAAAATTACACTCACTTCCAAAGTTATATCAAACATGTTATTTGTCTTAGAATTAGCTGCTGTACTCTCCCTGTTTTTGTTCTGAGTTATTCTTCCTCTTCAAGAAGCTTCTCTCTTTTTACTAAGAGGAAACAAAGGATGTGAAAAAAAATTATAAATCAGGAAGTGTATGTAGTCAGTCACATCATCTGCAAAGCTACCGCAGCAGACAGCTTCAGAACTGGAGAAGCAGAATCTATTGCCCTCTCCACCACAAAAAGAGAAAAAGCAGAAAGATTATTTTGCAGAACAAACAGAGAGAATGAAAACTGAGGAGCCTGTTTACTATTTAAGTCCAAGGGACTTGTTTCAAGGCACAAAGCCTATAAGTACTCTCTTTTCCTCTGAAATAAAAATTCTTTCAAGGAACTGTGTTTTTCAGATTACTTATATTTAGATGGGGAAGGATGTTTGGATATGTTTTTACTTACTTTTTCACCTTCATAACCTGTTTTAATACAAATTGGCAAAGTCTACTACACATTTCTTCTTGCTGTTTCAAAACGTTTCAATGGGAACATATACAATGTTTTCATTGCACTTTCCCCTGCAATACTTGAAGCAAGTGTTCAGCTGCTATTTTCCCTTGATGTGACCTACATAACAAGAGATCTGCCTCCATAGAGATAACAGTTACAACAGCTGTGGCTGATGAAAAACAATGGAGCTGTTTCATCAAATAGACGCTTCTTAAATATTAGATCTGTTTTAATTGGCCTGATTATCTCTTTAAACCAGTATTTGTGATAAATATCAACCCTCCTATCCATCAACCACTAGTATAAATCTATTTAGAAACAAAAGTATTTTTGCAATTTGGTCTCAAACAAAGCAAAGTAACAGAACAAAACATAAGCAGAACACACACAATACAGACCAATGAAGTGCATAATGCAGGCAGATAACAAGCAAGTTATCATGTCTTCACCAGTCATTATGTACCCCTGACCAACTGCAGCTGCTACAGGTGAACTGGTATGACACCTATCCCAGTGGGAAGTCAGGCAACTCAGAAGGCAATGTCAGCTAAGGCAGTCTAACAGCGTGACTAAAGAGCAAAATTAACCAATATAGATGCCCACCAACAACTAACTGAAAGGTAGGAAAGAGTGCACTGATTTTGGCACCAAGGTGTCAGCATACAAGCCCAGTTACAATTGATAAAGGAAATTACAGTGTAAGATCACAGACCTTTAAACCAGTTATTTCAGAGAGGAAAATTACTATATATAAAAGAAAGGAAGGGAAAAAAGAGAAAGGCCTTAAACATAACTAAGTCCGAAGAGATAAAACGCTCTGAAAATTCACCTTTCAGTTTTCCAGGAAAAGTTCAGAACTGTTGTCAGAATGACAAAATAATGATTACTGCTGAAGTGTAACTTCAAGATTGATCTTACCATCCTGTTGACCTCTTTCTACGCATTTGAAATTAAATTTTTGAGAAAGGAAAATAAAAACTCCCAAGAAACATCATCTAACAGATATTGTGAGAAAACAAGCAGCAGAAAAGGGACACTGGAAAAGCATAAGACAGCACTGAACTCACAAAATTCCCTGACAGAGTTCCACTTGAAGTTTTTTTTATACAAGTGGGCTATCCAAAGAAATGAGGAGGAGTGAGACTCATCTAGCTTCTCTGGCATCACAGCATACAGCTGACCTTTTTGTTCTCTTTTGGTCAGGGTTTTCCCTGGAAAGGACATTCATGGGATCTCTCTCAGGCACAGCTGGCAGAGCTGTCTCTTCCAAAAAGACAACTGATCTCTGGGGCTTCACCTACTTTTCACATTTCATTAAAACAACTTAACAGACTCAGAGCATTAAAACCAGATACACAGCCCAACTGTGTATACTCCTTTTGGAAGACAATCCTGGCTATTATCCTCACATAAATGTAAGAGAACTATTCACTAGTAACTCAAAATTGTCCCACTGTAGAAGAATGGCTGAATTAATGGTGTTTTACAAAATCAAACCTCAGAAAGCCCAAGATGTTCAAGTTACTTAATTCTAGTGAATGAAAACACATTTAATCTCAATAAAGTCACCTGAAGTGTTGGCCACAAGAAACCTACAAGTACGATGCTGCAAAAATGAATTCACTTTCTTTACACCTACCATTTGTAAAACAGCTTAAGTAAGCAAAGCAGGCATGTAATGGTACACAAAGCCTTCTATACTCTTATCCTACAGAACTTTCAGAACTGCTGCAAAACCTTGGTAATTAAGGTTGACAGGTATGCAGCTACTAATGTGTCACTCAAATTATTAAAATAAATCTATTCTACGGTGAAATTTAAGAGTTTAATGGAGTTCCTTTTCTTCCTCTCTACCAAGGAGTTCACATCTGACCTGTTTCAGACTTTATATACTATTATAACTATTTTCATAATTTCCTTTCACACAAGAACGCTTTAACATCGTGCTTTGACAGACTACTCTAAACAATCAGAGGTCGATTTAGTTCCAGATAAAACTAACCAATTTTTCTCCTTAATTTTAGAATGAGTTTAAATGTCCAATACAGTCCACTGGAATATACCAGAAAGTTCAGCATCCAGTAGAGAAATCTCTCACTACTTCAAGGCATTTAAAAGTAAACAATTGCTATGGCTCCAGTCTTGACCTTCTTGTTTACACAGCCTGGTACATTAAACATTTTCTGAGTTGAGCAGTTGAACTCCTCTGAGATGATGTGCTTTATATAAGAACACAAATAATAAGATGCCATTAGATCTTCATTCAGTAAATAAACCAAGACAAACCCAACAATAAATAGGGAGCATACACATTTCACTATCTCACTTTGCAACAGTGTACTAGTAGGTCACAACAACAACCTCTAACAGCATGGTTTGCAGACAGGTAAAGAGGCATATGTGAAAACTGAACCAAAACTGGAGATTGCAGGACAGACATCACAGTGTAGAAATGAGGCCACACCAGTGATGGGAAGGACAGAGCACATTAACGTGCAATTAAAAGCTGAAGTCCTTGAACTAAGTACCAGAGACTGCAGAAAGTGAAAGTAAAAGACAAAAATGGGGTAGTAGCAAGATCTACGCTCCTGGTGATATTTGTGAGGAAGGAAAGTGGCAAGAAAAGCATGGAAAATTAGAAATTGTACAACAGAATCTTCTACTTGTAATTATCCCATAATCAACAGAAAATTCAGTTAAGCATTTCCGAATAAAGTTGCAATTCAGGTCAGAAAACTAGGACAAAAAAACCCAAACCAATAAAACCCACACCCAAAACCACAAAAGAAGCAAAAGAAGTAACATTTGCAAATTCACAAGTTGGGGTCCTCAAGTGTTCACAAAAACTACATTCAAAACTATTCAACTGCTTCCCAGAAAAGAAAATCTGTAAAACATGAAGTCTAAAGTACACAACTTGTATTTAGATACAACCAGTATCTAAGTTCAGAAGAAGCTATCATTTGTCTAACCTCAAGGTTCATTTTAATCTAAAAAACGTGGCTGCAGCTGAAGGAATCGACAAAAGCCACCATCAACAGAAAGCAAGAAACAGAAAAACCCAGGTTATTCTGCAGCAGATTCTGACTGATTCCCTCAAGTGGCCCATTTGGCTGCACAACCATTGCCTCCTTAGCAAAAAAAGTTCCACTTCCATGTTCTCAGCTACAGCTAAGTTTTCCAATTCACGCGAAGAAGAAATTTAAGTTAACTCGGTCTCTATCAAGCACTGGACTACACAAGACAAATGTTGAGCAATATTAAACAGTTTTAATTTGCATTTGGGGCTCATACAAGTACTGCTCAGAAATTTAAACACGTGGAAGCAATTAAATGGACACCACTCTCCTGTTTTCACAAGTCTTGTAACAAGCTAGTGGAGTTATCTTAACATGGTAGATTGATCAAATTACTTGTTTCCTTCTATGTGCTAATTAATTTGCAGTAAAGAAGCCAACACGGTTTCAGCAGGCTTCTACAAAATGGCCAAAAGTGAAACTTTTCCACTATAAGTGGTCTGATGCATGCCTTTATTAAGAGTATTTGAACCTGGATCTCAAGGCTAGCCATCCTGTTCCTCGTTCTCCAGGCCAGGAGATTGCACCTAAGGCAAGAGTTCTATAAAGTTCACAGGATGAAGACAGGATTTTGTGATGTGTATAAAGTCTTTCAGATTACTGATTAACAAGAATCTCAAATGAAGAATACGCACATTTCTTGATCCAAAGCCTCAGAATATAATCTTAATAAAACCCTCGTTACTCTTATCTGGAAAACGGAAAACCTAATTCAGGACCTTATTAGGGCTCTCTTACACTACAGACAAGCAGGCACATAGTCATCTTGTACCAGCTGGTTAGGACTTCTAATTGGGCAGCATCATTGCCCAAGAGCCAGGATAGGAGAAAAGAAAAAACCCAACACGGTAGTCTGGTTACAATTAGTATTTTAGAAAAGGGGAGGAATATTAGGAGAAGTAGGATTGTTAGGAGGGTTGGTCCTAAATTTCTGCGTATACTACATATTACTAAACTTGTGTAGATTAGCACAGGCAATTTAATGATGAAAGAGTAGCTGTGAGCTTTAGTACCTCAAAAGTAACAGGTCTTTTCGAGATTTGAAGGCATGAACACAAAGCTTCACTCATGCATTCTTGAGTAAACTGTTATCCCAAGAAGAAAACGGGCTTACATATGTCAGCCTCTGTTAGCCTCAACTAGCTGCCACATATTGCTTGAATTCCAGCATTTCCAGTAAGAATTATTTAATTATTCAAAACCATTAAAAAGCAGTTTGCTACAAAATGTATGCCATCCCCACGGTATTTTCTATCTTCGCTATAGCACAAGCTTGTCATCACTCTCAAGCTCACACATCCTTCTGCAGGGTTCATGCTGAAAGTAACTACTAAGAGAGATACTGGATACTTTTTTCCTACGTCTCTGCCATGCCTACAGCACCAGTTAGTTCTCTAATCGCAAGCTGGCGAACACTGTTTGGATCAAAACCACCCACACCATCTGGCACGAGGTGCACAGAGAGGGGAGATGCGAAAGCTTCACAACAGCTACCAAAAACCAAATGCACCTTAAGCTTGTGCCCAAGTATCTGAAGCACATCCACACCATCGAACCCCTCTCATCTGCAAACCTGCGGCAGCACTCGCGGTACTCAGAGGAGCGGCCACAACCTCCCACATGGCACGCTTGGCTCTCTGTCCCTCTTCTGAGAGCCAGGACGGAACAGAGCGGCAACAAAAGCAACGAGCCCTTCCACGCACACACGGCCC